GCACAAAGATATTCCTTTATTTAAGTGCCTGAAACACGAAACATTAAAATCCACCAAGCGCTCATCAAATGAACTTCTACTCTGAACCGTTGATCTGCTTGATTTTGCTGCGAGCTTAACAGAGACGATGCTGTAAGGATTGCATAATTGGCTGACACTGTGGATCGCCTTGAAAGATTAAGGGAGGGCTTGAACGCCGAAGCAGCAGAAAGCCAACCATTTGGGAAGGTCGCAGTGACATATGCCGCCCATGTTAGCCGCAAAAAACGAGTCTTCAAGATGTTTGTTGGCCTTCGGCAATCGAACGGTGCAACGTGTCCCAAACATGTGTTCCTACAAGCCTGACTAGTCTGCATTTGATAGGCACGACTCCCCAAGCTTAATTTCCCTCGAATTGGTGCACGATCATTTCCCAGCGCCAGTTCACAACTGATAGCATACTTTTGTTTGGTCTGGTGCACAAAGAAGGCAACAAGCAAGCCTTCGGAGTGGTTCTCCCGACATGTCGCCCTTTCGACATGGAGACGCGCAGATCGTACGTCGGAACTTATTGAAGTCTGGTGTTCGCCCATTTCCTTTTGGTGCCTCGGACGACTTGCTCGGACTGCATGTTCAAAGACTTACCAGCCGCAGAAGTGCGCCAGTTGTTGATACAGACTCTTGCCTTTTTGGGAGCACGCTTTGTGAGGTTCTATGTTGAAAACGAACACAGGGGAGAAATTCTCTACTGTACATCTGCTAAAGCCGGCAAACCGACCCGGCGATGCGGTTGATATCTCTCCCGCTGGCCAGGAGTCAGGAGATGACATTTTAGCCGGGGAGCCTGTGACAAGTATACAGAGACTCATGGGCCTAGACAGTTGTGAGTGGAAGCATCGCCAGCACCCATTTTGTTATGAGTCAGGTTTACTCGCCTCAACAAAGTTTCAGCATCCAGCTTTCGAAAAGCTTTCAGGGACACCCAGGTATGTGTCACACGTGAAATTTGGAACCCATGCGCCAAGCTTCAAAACTGCTACTTGACAGCTCACACTTCGATTTCGTCCGTGGCTCACCGCAGGCCTTGGTGCAGAAGGTTCCGGGGGTCGCCAAAGGTTTGAGCGAGGCAGGGATGGGTGGGTGTGGGTGTGGGTGTGGGTGTGTGGGTGTGGGTGTGGGTGCGGGTGTGGGTGTGGGTGTGGGTGTGGGTGTGGGTGTGGGTGTGGGTGTGGGTGCGGGTGCGGGTGCGGGTGCGGGTGCGGGTGTGGGTGGGGGTTGGTTGGGTTTGGGTGGGTGTGGGTGTGGGTGGGTGTGGGGGTGGGGGTAGGGGTGGGTGTGGGTGTGGGTGTGGGTGTGGGTGTGGGTGTGGGTGTGGGTGTTGGTGTGTGGGTGTGGGTGTGGGTGCGGGTGCGGGTGTGGGTGTGGGTGTGGGTGTGGTTGTGGATGCGGGTGCGCGTGCGGGTGCGGGTGCGGTGCGGGTGCGGGTGCGGGTGCGGGTGTGGGTGGGGGTTGGTTGGGTTTGGGTGGGTGTGGGTGTGGGTGTGGGTGTGGGTGTGGGTGCGGGTGTGGGTGTGGGCGTGGGTGTGGGTGTGGGTGTGGGTGTGGTTGTGGGTGTGGGTGGTGTGGGTGTGGGTGTGTATTGTGGGTGTGTGTGTGTTGTGGGTGTGGGTGTGGGTAGGGTGTGGGTAGGCGCGTTCGGGGCGGGTGGGTGTGTGTGGGTGTGGGGTGCGACCCACACCACACCCACACACCCACCACACACACACACCAACACACACCACACAACCCACACCCACCCACACCCCACACCACACACCACACCCCACCCACACACACCACACCCACACCAACACACCCACCCACACCCACACCCACACACACCCCCCCACACCCACACCACACCCACACCACACCACACACACACACACACACGCGCGCGCACACACGCACACGCACACGCACACGCACACGCACACGCACACGCACACGCAGTGCACGCGCACGCGCACACTGGGGATGCACCGGGGGTTTGCTAGAGTTAGTAGGACATAGGGGCAAAGATATAATATATACTAACAAATGCTAACTAGTTAGCTAAGGGCTTAAGTTAGGGGGTTAGCTAAGAGGTTAGCCAGGGGTTAGCCAGGGGTTAGCTAAGTGGTTAGCTAAGTGGTTAGCAAAAAAAACATACTAGGTTTATTACATTTGGAGTGATGGTCAAACATATGATTTATTGTTTTTTATTCTGCCTTGTTGGCAGCAATTTGTTTAGACTCACCAGAGCATTTTGAGAAAATAGATATAGGCTTTGGCAGTGCTGCTCATCATTATGCAAATCAAAGCTGTGCATGTGCATTTATTAAAATGGATAAGCCATATGAGCTCATGATACAAAAGCACATGCGTGACCAGTCAAGGCAAGCTCATACTGCTCATAAGCATGATTGATGGATCATAAGCCAGGTGGCTACCACGACATGCAATCTTCATGGAACATGAGCCAGATGGCTACCATGACATGAATTTCATTGCGTGTGTCAGCACCATCTTGGTTGTAAGTTTAAGCCTGGCTGGCTACCAAGGACCTGCTCATCCAACAAGGCTTCACCATTCCAGTTAACTGTTTGCAATGAAAGCCAGAGGTTCAGTACTCACATGGGACCTATATACTGTCAAGCTGAGGAAAGTTCATCAAACCAGAAGCCTTGATGCTTGACGATAAAGCAAAAGCAATCTGGCAAAGCCATGGCCATGAAGATGCCAAGCCCATTAAGAAGCCATCAATGAAGCCTGATGGAATTCGTGACCCTGTGATCCATCCTTGTGGCCCAACAGAACACCTACCAGCTCATCAAGGAGAAGGACCACTTCCAGATACGCCTTTCCCAGGTTGTGTGCCAGACAGCTCATTTATGGAGGACTACAATCCATCAGACGAGGCTGCGGCCATTGCACCACTAGGGTGGTTTTTGGAATGACTTTTTGACCGAAGAGCAAAAAAATGGCTATTGGACCACCCAGAGCATCCATCCAATGGAGATGCCGAAGTATCCAATGTATAGTCTAGATGGCCAGGCCAGATGTGGTGGAAGCTGAAGAAAAATCAGTGTGCTACAAGTGATTGTATTTCTATAGGCAATGGCACCACTGGTTGTGCAGCGTCTCATGCATGAGCCTGTGCTTGTGCCATGTAGTTTCAGCCAGGTGGCTACTACTCTGTCCGCAACACATATGTTCATGCAGTGTGTGTTCCATGTAGCACATGCATATGAACCTATGCATTGCAAGTCAAGCCCACAGGCTACAATGGTTGCCTTGGCATGCCCAGGCATCCATACATGACAGGCTTTGCACCAACACCCCAGCAGCCATCTCTGATCATGGATATCCAAATTCGAAAGTCGGTGGAAATATATGCTGACTACAAATGGATTGCAATTCCAGAGTTCTTGGTCCAAGAGCACCAAGGAGAATCATACATCAAGATGAGGGCAACCAGCCAGCCCATTATTAAACTGGTGGCAGGCTCCAGGATTTCCAAGAATGCATCCATGAGTTCGTGCGCTGAGCTCACAGAGCTAATTAGCAAAAGAAATGATGCTGCCAAACAATCCAGACAGGCACCTGACCCGGGCCAGGCAATGTTCAGGAGTGAAGACTCACAGGAGGCTAGTGCCTCAACCAGTACAAAGCATGTGCCACAAGGCATATATTGTGTCCAGATTGATGTCAATGGCACACAAGTCAGAACCTTGGTCCAGGGCCAAAGGCCCAGTGAGGCTGACCTAACAGTGCCCATGGAGCCAACTCAGCTGGCAGCTGTCATACAATTTTTGAGGCCAGGTGTTCAAGCGTGTACAGATACACCCAAAAGAACATACAAAAGGAAAGCTGACCAATTATGATATGTTGGGTGTGAGACAAAAAAGCTGATTGCAGTACATATAAGCATGCGGACTACCTGATTCATTGATGTCAGGCCTACTGGCTACACATACCAGGCCTATTGGCTACACATGGCACTGTCACAGCATGTGTGGCCACACATGCAACCACAAAGGTACGACAGTCAGTTTATGGAAACATCATAGAACTGTGATGCAGCTTGCTTGCATGAGATGTGACATGGCTGTGTGTTTATTTGGATTGACCAGCAGCCATTGCAGCTACACACAGCAACTGTATAGGTCAGTCTCATGCCAGGCCAGAGGGCCAGAGTTGAGTCATGGTACTCCAAGGGGACCACAACGCTGTGGCATGTCCAGACCGAGTCCAATGGATGGGAAACATGGAACCTTGTATGATTGTACATATCATTCCCAAAAGTCATTTGCACCTTACACATTTAAGTGTGGTGTGTGTGTGTGTGCGTGTGTGTGTATCCTAGAAAGCATTGGCCTTACCGAGGAAGCCATTGTGGCGCCACATCATCGATGTGAACCAACGCGAGCTGATTGCCAACAGTACCATCTACAAAGCTATCGCGATGCAGTACACATTGTCTGGTGCCACAATGCCCACCAATGTGAGTGAGCTTGTGTCTGGCCATACAGACAAAGCCAGATATGACTGAGTCCACAAAAGTAGCTCTGTGCAGCTTGCAACAAATATAATGTTACCCGGGCCCAGCATAGTCCCTTCAGTTTGTTGTTTGAATGATCATGAGCTAAACTGCCAAGCCTTTAGGCTACATCAGGAAGCATCATGATTGATGAATCATTTTAAGCATAGGTAGTGCGCTGTGAATTGTCAAGCCTGTGCCACACACAACGTTCCAGCATCACATCAGGCCATATGGCTACATCGTGTAGTCAATCATGTTGATCAGATGCAGTTGGGTTGGATCATACGATTACTTGTATGATGCATAATGAATGTTGGATTAGCTCAAATTGCAATCGGTG